GAGAGAGCCCTCCCCCTCCTGACTCTATTCAGAGCCGGTCGACTACACACTGGACGAGCGAGCATTTGATGGACAAGGAGAGAGAGAGTAGCAGTGACTGTCACGGAGCAGAAAACTCAGTTAGGTAACAGCCCAGGAAACGTAGTGGCACTGCCTCTGGTTTCACTGGTTAAAGTTCGTCTCAATGGGCGGGTTCAGGATTACACACTGTGTTTATGTATGTTTACATGGTTTCACTGCCTGTGAGGCTCAGGGCAGGACGCAGCACCCACAGTCCGGTGCTGTGGAGGTCACCTGGGGTCAAATAACAGGACAGGTGTGCAGACACATAACAGCCAGTGTGAGAGACTGAGCGTGTGCAGATCCTCTGCAGGGTCTGCTTGGCTGAGTCGGGGCCAGGATCCGGCTGTGCTGCTGCTGGTCTCAGCTCAGAGTGTCCGGTACCGAGTGGACCTGAACGGAGCCCAGCGGGCGTGGTATCAGGTAAAGTCCACAGCCCAGTGGAGCTTTGCTCTGACGAGGAGCTGACACATCAGTCGACTTCTGCTGGTACAGGACAGCTGTTTGGAATCAGGAGTGTTAAACTGGTGACAGCTTTGTGTGTTAGCGTGTTAGCTACGTTTAGGCTACATCTATGAAACCAAGCAACCAGAACAAACGAAGCTGTGGTTTCAGCTGCCGATCAAACTGTTTTTGTTCTTATTAAGAGAGAAAATTAACCCTGTGCTCACTGTTTGTGTTTGAGTTGGATGTTTCCTACAGATCTGTGATGTTGAAGACAGTGAAGAAGAAGAGTTTCCTCACCCCTCTTCTTCTCTCCCTCACACACAACACATTTACTCCCTGCTCTTTGTCTGTGGTCAGTTAACCACACAACTCGTCTCATTAGATCTGTGCACAGTGCAACGCCCGAGGCCAAAGGTTCGCTGGCTGTGATGTGGAACAGCAGTAGCTGCACACACACACACTCTCTCTCACACACACACATGCACACAAACACACACACTGCTCTCTGTTCTCAGATCATTTAACCTTCCTCTGCTCCTGCAGGATTGAACTTTATATATGGAAACAAAGTCCCATCATTCAGAAAATATGCAGCCACATCTCCTGTGTAGTATCTGACTTACCGTTCCTGTTAGGGTTGTTTGTGTTTGTGTTGTTGTTTAATCAGCTGTCTGAGCAGCTTCTGTTCTGATTTTGGAGCTTATCTGGTTAAATACAGGTGAAGAATGAAAATTAGAAGTGTCTCTGCTGGTCGCCTCGTTTTCCTCTGTTCAGTCTCACAGATGACTTTTACTTGAAGCACTGTGACATATTGTTTTACACATATTAATACTGTGTTTGGAGGTAGTTGTAGTACATTTGATAGTACTGGTACTTATGTGACAGGGATTAGTACTATGTCTGGATATAATTATACTGTGTTTACAGCTGCTGCTATAGGAAATAAGAAAATAAGATGTGAACTAAAGCAAAAGAAAAAGTGAATGAAATTGTCTCATGTTCTGGTCTCAGTGTGTCGGCGTCCTCTGGTGGTCGGACCCTTTTGTTTACAGCTGCTGCTATAGGAAATAAGAAAATAAGATGTGAACTAAAGCAAAAGAAAAAGTGAATGAAATTGTCTTGTGTTGTGGTCTCAGTGTGTCAGCGTCCTCTGGTGGTCGGACCCTGTTACTACATCCTACATCCATACAATCAGCTGTCTAGGCCAGGTGCCTCTGCTCCATGGTGATGTCACACTCCGTCAGGTAGATCTCAAGCCACCGTCTCCATCAGTCTCCTGGCTGCCTCCAGAATCTGTGAAGCCAGCGCAGACACTTCTTTCTCCTTTGTTTCTTGCTTCCCTTCACCTTTGTCCAGTTTCCCAGAACTCCTTCTGTTCACCTTCGGCTTCTTGTTGAACCCGAACAGCTCTTCCACTGAGAACTTCCCTGCTTTCGCCCCCACCACTGCCCCTGACAGCTCCACAACTGCACCGGCTGCTGACGCCCGGCCTGCAAACATGGCTGGAACTGCAGGTAGGAGGGCTAATGTTAGCACTGTGAGCTAGTATGGAGGCTAATTAACGGGTCTAGCTTTGGTGAACTTTGACCTTGGAATTTGTTCCACTGACTAGGAACAAGCCGCCTTTAGTCGACTCAGCAGAAGTAACAGTAGTAACAATAAGCAGTAGAAGTTCTTCATTCAACTGTGTACAGATGCCACCCACGGCCTGTTGGCCAGAGACCACGTTTAACCCAGTGTAGTGTGTCACGCACACACACACACACGTGTTTTCATTCCTCGTGGGGATTATACACTGACTTCCATTCATTTGCTGGTGACTTGCCCAAACCTCACCCTGACCTTAAACCACGTTGTCACCCTAAAATGTAGTACTTTACCTGCTGGGAAATCAGTGGTTAGGAAGTGCTGGGAACCCAGCAGGTAAAGTACCCCAAGTACCCAGAATGTGAGTGTGTAAACAGGTTTCGGTCCCCACACTGTGATTAATGCCAAGAACACACACACAGTTTGAGAGAGTGGTTGAGCAAGGCAGAAAATGACAGTGAATCAGAAGCCTCCGCGGTTCGATACAGACCTTGAACACATCACAGCAGCAGATTAACCCCGTGCTGTGTTTCCGCAACCTCTGATCCACCAGTACTGGCGCTGTGCTGACCTGTGACCCGACGGTGTGTAGATGCTTCACACCCGGTCTACTCCAGGTCGTATGGCAGGGTTCAGACCCACTGCCTTTCTCCCAGACAGCCAGAAGGTTTCACCGCAGAGCCACGGCCATCTTTCACTGATTTCAGTTTTATAAACAAACAATATTTAAGCTACGACTCCGTGTTCAGGCAGAGATTTGAGGACAGTTTGAGCAAAGGGAATGAAATCTTGGAAGAATGAGTCAAATATGTGAAAGACGCCAAAGGGAAGTTCACATAAGATGTGGTAGAATAAACAGGGATCGTCTGTGTAGCAGGCACAGAACAGGTTTATATGTGAATGTGCACAGATTATGACGTTGTGTCGTCTTGGTTCGTTGGTTTGGCCTCTAATTGTTCTGAGTGTGAAAACAGCTGCAGCTGCAGATTTGAAAGACTGTGTAAATGTGCAGATTCAGGGCTGGGACATCGTCCTGGGACCTTTCAGCCTCATATAAAATCGAAGGAGGCGGTTTAGATTCCAGCAGGTGACTGATCCTCCCTGTCCTGCTGCCTACTGTTGTTAACTGACTTGTTTCCCATGATGTGTCTTCAGAGCCCTGGCGTTTTCTGGCTGTTCCTGCCTGTTCTTTGGAAAATCAAACACACCACAAACTTCGACCCTGATCTTCTGCTCAGCTGCTAAACACTAACCCTGCATCACTGTCTCTTTGGCAACTCACTGCAGGTGAATTTCATTCTGATTTGGAAGCTCTGGCAGACCTTTGACCTTTCTCATGTCAGACTGGTCCCTGCTGCCCCACCTACTCTCCCTCACCACCTCATGCTTCACCCCACAGGCTTCACTGGCTTTTATTGTTAGTTGTTGTTCTGTACTCCTTTGGAAAAGAGCACCATATTTAGTTCTCGATTAGCAATAAGACTGTGGGATGTGGCTCCGAGTTGTGATTATTTTGTCACAAACGATTTGTAATCATCTGTGAGTGAGCAGCAGAGATCAGTATCCGCTCAGAGAACCCACATCAGAGTAGAACCCAGTAGAAGCAGCAACAGAGTGGAGCAGATCAATTCTGTTTCTCTGCTGTGCTTCTTCTTTCTGTCTCTAATCCACCAGATCATCTGTTCTCCACATAAACACGTCTGTCAGGCAGATTTACTTCAGTGATGCCTGTACGATAAATTTAATGTAAAAAAAGAGACAAACATCTGGTGGAAACAGGAAACAGACACGTCTCCTGTCCTGAACATGACGAACAGATGAAACCATGAAGCAGCTGAAACAGCAGCGTCCAGTCATGTAACTGATGTTTGTGGTGATGACACGAACTGTGGTTAATGGAGACGTCTGCTCTCCACAGATCTGAAGGTCCCTGTCAGCAGTTCGTCCTCTTCCTGTAGGGATTCACTCAGTTGTCAACTAAATTAAACAGCTGGGTCCAGATGTGTGTGTGTGTGTGTGTGTGCAGCTGTTGGTGGTCAGTCTGTTTTTCAGAGGGATTACAGATTATGTTCCTACAGGGACAACACACTTTAGTCTTTACACCCATGAGGACCCTCACTGACAAAATGCACTTCCTAACCACTGGCTGACACTGACCTGAGCCCTCACTCTGACATATGAAGCTGTGAGGACCTGCCACAGTGTGCGACTGTCGTTACAGTGAAATGAGAGCACCGGTATTTGTGTGTTCATTCCTAACAAGCAGTGACAGGATGGAGGACGCAGCCTCGGTCCTGATGGAACTGTCTGTTTCCACCATGAAGGACTCTGAGCTGCTCCACGATTCCTAACAAGCAGTGACAGGATGGAGGACGAACTGTCTGTTTCCACCATGAAGGACTCTGAGGACAGCTGCTCCACATGTCAGTGAGTGTTCATCCAGTGGTTTCTCAGAGGTTGCCGCTCTCTAATGTAAGTTCACGATTCCTCCACCACAGCTGTTTAAACTGAAACACGTGACAGACGAGCAGCAGCACAGAGAACAGCACAAAGGTGTGAGTCTTCTATTCCTTAGATTTAATTAAATGAAACAGGATTTTGTGAAACCCTGGTATAAGACTGGTTTAACTGATGATCTGCGCCTCTGGAAGCTGCCTGTCGTGGTTGGTCGACTGGTAACTTACAGATAAAATAATGAAATCAGTCCAACTGTGAAAGAATACGACACCAAGCGTCAGATTTTTACATCAGTTTAATGATGAAGGTGAAGCTACAGAACAAAGCCACATCAAATTCAAATTCACAATAAATACAATAAGACTGTTGGTGTGTGAGTACAGGTCTGTGTGTACTGTGTGTGTGTCTGTGCGTGTCAGGCGGCCCGCGGGCTGTAGTACGGCAGCGCTCTGATGAAGGCGTCCAGTCGGCTGCTGAACAGCTCACTGTCCAGACTGTGACCCAGCACACACACCGGGTTCTTCACTATGTACTCTACATACAACTGACACACACAAACAGAAATACACAATGTGACATTTTACAGACACTTTCAACACTGACTTCCTGTGCATCTCAAGCCATTGACCCTTCACAATAAAAGCCCTCAACACCCCAGAACCTGCAGGGTCTCCCAGTTAAATGCAAGACATTTTAACAACACACAGTCGGTGGCAACTAACTCTTTTTTATACGTTACTTATAGTTATTATTAGTGTGTATTCCCGGTTCGTGTTAAAACCAGATGTCCGTTACACTTACGTTGCTGTATATGTGCTGCAGTGTGTCTCTGGCGTTGGTTACAGACAGGTCGGTGTTCACGACGAACTTCAGTCCACTGGGAGTCTCGTAGTAATGGAGGCGATACTTACTGGTCTGAAACGACAGGAAACCGTCCTTCCTGAGGATAGACGGGCTGCTAAGGACCACAGACAGGCAGAGGACTACAGACAGACAGAGGGAGACAGACAGACAGCTAAAGTGAAGGATACATGTCCAGAGGAGACATCTTGCTGACGAACGAGCGGATGGAGAACAGCATCCCATACATCAGTTTAAACTCCTGCAGAAACACAAACACAGATACTTTCTGGGTTTCTGAGCGTTTTATTTGATTGTGATTTTTTCTTTTTCATTAAAACATTTGTCTTTATCACCTCGTCCTTGGAGATCCCCGCCTGCTTCTTGCGGTTCCACTCGTTATAATACAAACAGTTTCCATTGCGGTCAAATATGTACAAGTTATGGATGGTCATCTGGAAAAAAGTACAAGTGTCTGACACTTATCATCGTTTTACAAGAATAATTATAAACACTATTTACACATTATAAAGGAATGCAATCAACCGTTTTTAAAAAAAAATCGACTATCAATAACCTCGGGATGTTTCAGGCGTGTACCGAATTAAAGAGCAGCTCCTTTAAATCAGCGAGACCATGTCCACATTTTATATGACGAGTATGTTTTTACTTATTTATTGTTAAATGTCGGGAATGAAATGACACATTTTTTAAATGGAGTCTGGTTCTCCGGTCGACTCCGGCAGCTCAGTGCGCTCAGAAATGACAGAGATACGTTTTTAAATGTCATTTAAACAAAACATTGTCTTACCAACTACAACAAACACATTAAAGCATCAAATTATAATCGCATATTCAGATACACGCTTACAACTAAGTTTATTACACGTCTTAAAAATGTACAGCAGTGTTTACCTTCTCTTCCTGTTTCCAATAGGACCCCTGCACAGGTGCCCGCATACATGCCACAACAAAAAGGTTTTGTGGAGTTTTATAAAATTTCTTTAAGGAAATACGACAATGTCCTAAAATCTAATGTGTAAATTAACGAGAACGGTTTGTCTGTGATTTTTGTTTGTAACGTATACACTACATTACCCGCCGGTGCTCATGGACAGCACCTCTCGTGTCGAGATTGTGCAAATAGAAACAAGATGGCGGCCCCAGCAGCAATGATTCCGTACTTTGGGCAGCAAATGTCTTCTAAAAATGACCTGGTCCCGGACTGGACCAGGCAGGAAGTCAGCACCGGGGTGAGTACGTGGACTTTGTGACCGAAGTGGACCGAACCGGAGTCGGTTCTGTCACGGTGGAGAATTTGTGAACAGTAAATAGTGGCTGAATGAGACAGCAGTTCTGTAACGCTAACAGCGGGCTAACGTTAACTCAGATACAGTTTGTTAATGTCCAGACTGAAGGGAGGCTGAACCAGACCGAACCGGACTGGATTTAGTTCCGGTGGACAGTCTGAAACAGAAGCAGGTAAAAAAAAAAAAGGTCAGACTTTTTGATGACAGTGATGAAGCGGGATAACCATGCATCCATTATCGGACGCATCAAAGCAAATAACTACACAGCTATATATATTTAGATGAGTTGTCTGATAATGAGCTCACCTGGTCAGCTCAGTTAAAACCAGCTCCAGACGAGAGAAAACGACGACTGATGTGAATGTAGTGACGGGTCGTCTGATAATGGATGCAGGGCGATGGGGTTAAGATCCCAGCCTTTTCTGCCTGATTGTAACTAAACATGAGTGTTCAGCTAATTCAGCTGCAGGTGAGGCAGGTGTTACTACGTCACAGTGTTACCTGTACTAAACCTCGCATTGTGGAAAAGGTAATAGAATGTGTTGATCTGCATTTATATTGCATATTGGAGATATGTAATCTGTCCCATCTGTCTGTCAGACCACCATCATGGCGGTGGAGTATGATGGAGGAGTGGTGATCGGGGCAGACTCTCGCACCACCACAGGGTAAGAAGAACAAACTGCATGATTGTTCTGTGGTAAACACTCCGTTAAACCTGTGTGTCCCTCCACCTGTCTGTCTCTCAGAGCTTACATCGCCAACAGAGTCACAGACAAACTGACACCAATCCACGACAGGATCTTCTGCTGCAGGTTAGTCTCCTCCTCCTGAACTCTTTCTAAGAATTTTATCTAGGTTTACAAAAACTCCCAACCAATGTTTCAAGACTTCACTGTGAACTTTTTAAGAACCTGTTTAGGATGACCAGAACCTTTTGGGATCTATACAGAAGTCCCTCAGGAGACCAGGATCTTTTAAGAATCCCAGAATCCTTTTAGGATTGTTCTAGGCAGCAGAAAGCCTCTCAGGAGCCCAGAGAGCTTTTATAGGAACATTTTATATTTTACTGGAGGTGTTACGGGAGGTGCTGTGTCTGTTTCAGGTCCGGGTCGGCTGCTGACACTCAGGCCATTGCTGACGTGGTCACCTACCAGCTGGGCTTCCACAGGTAAACCACGGTCCAGTTTGACTCTCAGCCTCAATGTCCACTCTGGTGTGCTTATTGCTTACCTGTGTGTGGTGTCCCCCCCCAGCATCGAGCTGGACGAGCCCCCATTGGTGGAGACAGCTGCTAATCTGTTCAGAGCGAGCTGCTACCGCTACAGAGAGGAGCTGACCGCTGGGATCCTGGTGGCCGGGTGGGGGGGGGGCAGGTAACACTCCCCCTGTGTGTGTGTGTGTGTGTGTGTGTGTGTGTGTGTGTGTGTGTGTGTGTGTACAGTAACACGCTCAATAAATACATAAACTGGGCAGAAACAGTTGTTTTCCGTGTGACTTCCTGCAGTTCACTTTGCGGTCAGCAGGTGGTCTGTGTCTGTGACTTTGTAGAACCTTTGTAATGAGGAGGAAGAGTTTTGTCTTCAAGTCCAGTTTCATTTAAAAAGATCTTAAATGTATTAAAAGGTTTACATTTAATTAGTTAAGGTCTTAAAATCATCTCTGACCTGCTGATGTTTCATCTTGTTTTGTCTCAGACCACAACTCAAAGATAGTTCATAAAGTTGTTTATGTTTAAAACAGAAACAGACTTTTACATGTTGTAGATAAAACCAGGAGATTGCTGCTTTATCTCCCTGTGGAATCTCACCATCACCTGTCTTCCTGTCACCTGTCTCCTGGTCTGTTGTGTGGGGTGCGGTGTGGGCAGCCAGTGGCGGTGGGCGGCAGCGGCAGCACCTACATCTACGGCTTCATGGACTCTAACTACAAACCAGGACTGAACAAAGACCAGTGTCTGGAGCTCACTGCTGCAGGTTCTGCTGCAAGGCATGCTGGGAACTGGAGTCCACTGACTCTGACCCACAGCTGCTTACACAGTCTGGAGCTTCACTGCTGCACATGTCTAACTCTGTCTGTCTGTCTGTCTCTCAGCTCTGTCCCTGGCCATGGAGAGAGACGGCTCCAGCGGCGGCGTGGTCAGACTGGCCACCATCTCAGAGGAGGGAGTGGAGAGACGGGTGATACTGGGCAACCAGCTGCCAAAGTTCTCCAGCCACTGAGCTCGGTGGCGGAGCTGTGTTCACATCTGTTTGCTTGTGTTAATAAAGTTTTCACTCTGCCTTTGCTTGCTGTTGTTATTAAGCTGAACCTGTAGGTGCACGTGTTCGCTCTGAACACAGACGTGTCGGTGGAGCTCCCCCAGGGAGAAGGGAGTTTTAGGGCACAGTCCAGATCTGGGTCCAGGTCCGGGTCTTGTTCTGGATTCACAGGGGCTCACACACAGGACCAGTGTCGTGGTCAGACCCCGGGCTGTGTCTGGTGGTCTGACTGGTCCATATAAATATGGTGTCTGGTTCTCGTCTCAGCAGCTCCTTCTTGCTTTAACCTTTATTGTCCTGGTGTCACTGTGGCAATGGACCACAGGAGGGAGGGCTCTCCTTCCTGTTGGGGGGGCATCCCACACAGAGAGAGACAGGAAAGTCTGTGGCAGCGCCCACAGTGTTGACCATGTCCCAGTCAGTCCACTGGTCTAACTGGGACATGAGCAGTTAATGAGGACATCCTCTGGTTTGATTTAATTTATACACAGTGAACTAATAAATGTGATCAAACAGTTTCAGGTCGAATGAATGAGACCTGGTTTTATTTTGATAGTTTCTGTCTGGTCACATTTTAAGGCGGTATTGGTCATTGTTATTGATAATATTAGTCCTTAGAGCCTCCACCAGGGAGCAGACAGGTGTGATAAATGCCAACAGAGCCTAACCTGGTCTCACTGTAACGGGGTCTGTCAGCTGGTTTTAGGAGCAGCGTGAAGTTTCGGACCAGTTGGATTCATCTCCAGTGTCATTAACGTCCAAACACACAAACCTCCACAGGTGATACTATGTCACAGGTCAACACAGGAATAAACTCTCGGCCTCTATCAGACAGAAACACTGTGATGCACTGCGACCCCTCCCTCCTGTGGTCCATTGCCACAGCTCATTACCTGTAGCTGTGTTTTCACTGTAACAACCATGTGGTGTCCAGTCAGCACAGGAACAAGAGAAGAAGAGATTACAGCACCAGGTACAGGTGTATCTGGTCTGTGAAAGCTGACGACAACAGGGGAACACTCTCACAGCACTGCACACGTATAATTAATTTCTCACTGAGCTCCTCTGTCTTAACATTAATGTTCAAGCTCATTACTTTTGTGTTGTTGTAGTTAACTCGCTGTGGTTTTACCTGAGATGTTTTACAGCTCATTACTTTTGTGTTGTTGTAGTTCGCTCGCTGTGGTTTTATCTGAGATGTTTTATGTTTTGTTCTTTGTGAGTTGATGTAGAGAAAGGTGTATCAGCGTCTCCGTACATAAACACGTGGGAGTTGTTTGTATTTACAGAGGTCACCTGCTGGTGTAACGTCTCCTCTGGAGGGCTTCCGTTTTGTTCTTTGTGAGTTGATGTAGAGAAAGGTGTATCAGCGTCTCCGTACATAAACACGTGGGAGTTGTTTGTATTTACAGAGGTCACCTGCTGGTGTAACGTCTCCTCTGGAGGGCTTCACCCTGATTGGTCCCCACTGACCACCGATGACACGTCACAGACTTGGTGACTTCCTGCCACAGACGCTCACTTTCTATCCTACAGAACGAAATCGAGTTTGATGGGACTATTTTCTCTGGTAGATGTTGTTTGTAGGAGAAGGAATTAGGGAGGCTTCATTACACTGGTGTTACTGGTGCCACTGGCTTTAGCTGGTGTTACTGGTGCCACTGGTTTTAAGCTTCCTTTTCTGTAATTGGTTTTATTTTAAATGGACATGGGAAGGTTATAATTTGGCACCGCTCTGCACCATCAGAACGTTTCTGTCTATGAGTAAAAGTAAATCAGCCCCCAAAAAACATCAGTTCACTTTTTATAGCTGCGTTTCCTCTGTGATAAATCACTTTAACATCTGTTCAGCCACAACCTGATGGTTAATGTAACCTTTACTCCATGACTTCAGTTTTTCACTGATGTCAGGTGTTGAGTTAAACCAGAGGCCAGAGGACGGACCTACTTGTGTCTATGTGGGCCCCCGAGGGTCTGCAGGCTCCAGTGTCTTTGACGAGGTCATTGAATATGTTCTTTATGTCATTCAGGAAATTTCTGGGGTCCTTGAAGAGTTTTTTACAGGCACCAGTGGCGGCTCAAGGGGTCCTTGAGAAGTTTCCAGATGTCACTGTAGAGGTTTGAATTGTCCTTGAGGAGGTTCCAGGGGTCTTTGAGGAGGTTGTGGAGGGACCAGAAGCTGCAGGTTAGCATGAGCTGAGTGTGGACCCTGAACAAGGGGAGAGGAAAGGAAGGAAGGAGGGATGAGGGAGGGATGTTTGCACTGAAGTGTCAACTGACCGGGGCGATCGACACTCAGGTGTTACTGCAGAGAGAGAAAGCTGAGTTTCTTCTCTGCCCTGTGTTAGTCTGGTTACTGACCAAACTGATGTGCGACAACCAGTCAGTTTGAAACCAGAACTCTGAACATCTGTTCTTTTATTCTGCTTAGTTTGTTTTAAACCTTTCTTGTTTCCTGTTTTTCTTTTCTTCTTCTCTGTTTTATTCTTTTCTTAATTCTCACCTGATTTTTTTTTCTTCATTTTCCTCCTATTTTCATCTTCCCCCTTCTTCCTGTTGACATCGGCTCTGGGTGGAGGCGGGACTATCACCTGTCTGTCACACCTCTCTCTTCTTCTTCTCCTGTTTCAGTGTTTGACAGACAGCTGATGGTTTCCCACAGTTCATCTCTCCTCCTTTCTTGCCTATCTACTGTCCCCATAGTAATGTCTCCTTTCCTCCTCTTTCCTTCCTTCCTGTGTCTCTTCATCACTTCTTCTCCTCCTTAAGTAAAAACACTGTGTAACTAAAATTGTATTATTACAATATACCTGGAGTAACAACAGTAAAATGGTCAAAGTGTCATTAATGTATGATTTTACTGGATCTTAACAACAGACTGGTAAAGGTGGTGAAGGTTTAGTCACAGATTGATTTTCTATTGATTAATCAGCTGATCATTTCTGCTGTGTTCATTTATACTGGGTGCTTGAACATGGTGTTGCCACGGTAACAGTTGATCTGAATAAACAATACACAGTGATTGATCTGTCTGATGGAACCTGGCGACAGGTTTCATTTCACACCTGGAGCTCAGAGCAGGTGAGACTGGGCGAGAGACATTGTGTCACTACAGAGAGAGAGAGAGAGTGCTGTTTCTGTCAGAGGATAAAAGATGAGTGTCAGGTATCACCCCCTCCTCCACCTCCTCCATCTGGTCTTTGTCAGGAGGTGTCGGCAAGTCAAGGGAACACAACAAGTCCCGGCGGGTTTAAGGAGAAAGAGGTAAAGAGAAGTGAGGAGGAGTAAATGAAGGAAGGAACAAGGGAGTGAGGAGGGAAGAAGAAGGTAGAGGAAATAAAGGAAAAGAAGCAGAAGGAAAGGAGTGAAAGAGAAGGAAAGGAGAGGAATGAAGAGGAAAGTAGGAGGCAAGGAAGGAGAGAAGGGGGGAAGGAAGGCTCAGGAGGGAAGGAAGAAGAAAGAGTGATGAAGTTTACAGAGAACTTTTAGAGCCGAGTTACAAAGTGATAAATTATGTAAAATGTTCCCAGGTAATAAACCAAAATGAGTCCAGATGAAGGCAGCAGAGCATTAGAAACAACATTAGAAACAGCATTAGAAACAAGCAGTAAAGCCACTGGCTGAAGAAAGGCTGTGTAACAGGATTCATGAAGTGGTTTGGTCTCACACATGTGACTGTACTGATGTAAACACATCTACATGTAAACAGAGTAAACACTGGATGTTTACTGGGATGGCCCAGTATTGTCTACTGTTACTGTGTTGTCTGGTGATTTGTCCTGTGGTGTCTTCTCCCATATTATTATGACGTCACTGGTTTGATTTGTCCTCAGCTTGTGAAACACGTTGTTTATGAACAGTGCTATAGTAAATAAAGCTCATTATTGTTGTCATACAGAGTAATATCAATATGGGATGATGTCTAAAAAGACACGTAGTGGGTTTTAAAACGGGTCAAACACTGAGTCCGTCTGTTGGAGCCTTTCCTTCTAAATGTGTTTTATTTCTGTCACTTGTGTGTTGATGTTTACTGCAGCGGTTTATTTACAGGCCTGTGTGTTGGTTGTTTCTCCACCCGCCCCTCCGGCGGCCCGGCGCCCGCCGCAGCCAATCACAGCCTCTGTGGGGCGAAGGGGGCGGGGCCTTCTGTTTTCCTGCAGACAGAGAAGTTGCTGCTTTGTCCCAACTTTTCCTCCGCTGGTTTTCGCTGGGAAGCAGGAACAAACTGGGAGCACAGGGACACCTGGAGCTCGGACTGGTCTGGATTTTCTTGCCCTGTGAGTGCGTGCTTCACCCCAGTGTATCTACGCATTCGTGTGTTTAACCTCCACTCCACTCTCCAGCCGTCCACCGACCCCTCTCCACTCGCCAGGCCGCCTCTCAGAGCTCCTCTCTGGGCCTCAGAGGCAGCCGCGCCCCGCTCCTCTGTCCTGGAGGAAAAAGTGCCGACAGAGAGGAGAGAAAGTGGAGGAAAAGAGGCAGAATGAAGGGATGAAGGGGAGTCGTGAGGAGGAGTGGAGCTGAAGGAAAACCTCTGGAAAGAGTCGAGGAGTTGGTCTCCAGCTTTTCACCAGCTTTTCTGTTTTTTAAATCATTTTTCTGCTCCACCCTGGAAACCTCTGCTCCCAGGTGGAGGACTCTCCACCTCCGTCACACGGATTAACTCCGCACTAAAAGTCACTTTAACATCTTTTCTTAACTTCTGGGCCCCCATGAGGCGCGCGCGGCCGGCCAAGATCGAGCCCAGCTGATGTTCACTGATCGGTGATCGATAGGGCTGATCGGCTGTGGACAGACGCGGGGACTGGTCGGGGTTCGGGTCTGGTCGGGCGTGGATTTGCTGGTGCAGGAGCAGATGGAGGCCCCCGCGGCCCCGGGGCGGGCCT